CGCGGCCGGATTGCTGTCCTTCCCCACATAGGCTCACCACGCCTTACTAGCGACCGGTCTGTGCCTCGTCTGACAATCCCCGTCCGCCGCCACAGCGGAACACGAGCGCCGGCCGCCGGCGTGTCGTCTCCTACCTGTCGATCAGGCGGCGGCGGCGGTGGCGGCCCGGCGGGCTGGTCTGCGTGCCGGCGTCGGCCGCCAGCGGCCGCGGCGCCGCGTCCATGCTCGTGGCGCGGCGCTTGCGGCAGGTGACGCGGCTGGCCGGCGGCGGCGGCGCCTCGGCCGTCTCCTTCGGCGATGGGCGGAGTCACGACGGCGGCAGGCGTGTGGCCGCTGATGGAAGGGTCATCCGAGGAGGTCGGAATGTGACGGTCGTGTTCTGCACCTCTTTACCAATCAACCAATACCATACCAATAATTACCAATCAACCTTCACCACTAATCTCTGAAATACACCGCCAGACAAAGTCACATTTCCGGTTCACTTCTTCGTTTTCACTTCCGGTTCATTTATCACCATCCGATTCATCATCCACGCCCCGCCTGCCTCACCGCAAACGGCTGATCGTCGTCGGGCAGCCTCGGCTGCTCCTCGACAGGTGGCAGCAGCGGCGGCAGCTGGAACGGCGCCAGACTCAGCCGGCCGCGCTGCCGGCCGCACCACGTCATCCGCCGCTTGCTCTTCTGCGCCCTAGCGGAGGCACGCGCGGCCGCGGCCGGTCAGAGCGCCGCCCGCCGGGGGGGGGGGGGGAGGGCGGGCCCTACGCGCTCCGTGAGTGATCGCATCGGCGCAGGGTGACACGCTCCTTACGCACACCGCGGCCGGCGGTTCATGGGACGCCCAGGGGCAACAGCTATCTGGATCTGACTCGCACACCCAGGGCGTGCGAACACCCAGGTCAGGCGCTGTCTCGTCATCCTGACCTTCCTCGCACGTGAGAACGGGCAGTGAAAACGAGAATTACAGTCTATGTGCGCCGTGCATCGGCACTAGGAGCTCGACCAGTTCACCTGACTCTGGTAAGCCCTGTGTGTGTGCGGGAGGGGGAGAGGCAGGCGGGAGGCACAGCGGCGGCCCCTCGGCGACGGCCGACGCTCCTTCACACGGGCTGACGGCGCCAGCGCCAGCGTACAAAACAGGCACCCTCGTGCTCACACCCACTGGGGCAGCACGTCCACCGCATGAACGTCAGCTTCGGCGCGCGCTCCGAGGGACTCCCATCCGAGGGATTTATTATATCGAGGGAGTTTTCTTCTATTGGGGCTTTATGTTCCACCAACTGCCAGAGCCATTTAGACACGGATGCCTTTATTAGGCGTTATATGGGATGCGGTGGTGGCGTGGCCGGGTTCGAACCCCAGGCAGACAGGTCCAGAGCCGCGCGTCCTGACCACTGTACCACCACCGCCACAGGCCCTAGCAGGGATGATGCCTATAGAGCAGAGGCTAGTGCGTCGCAATGGAGCGCTACAGAGAAATGGCAGAGACGGCCCACGGTCACTTGCGGTCGACACCAGACAAAGACACGCAGTTTTTCACAGTCGCAGTCCCGAGCAGCCATCCCCGCGACTGGACTACAGCGCTCGACCCCTCCCCGTCCCCCAGACTCACTTGGCTGGCAGCTGCTGCTTGGGCGCCGAGCTCACCACCAGCTGCTCGACCAGCTGGCGCAACCGGTCCTGCAGCTGGGTGTTGCGCTTGCTCTGCTCGGCCAGCGCCTGCTGCATCTCCTCCACCTCGGTGGCGCGGTTGGTCTGCTTCTCGCGCTGCAGCTCCGCGCGCAGTCCGTGGATCTCGCGCTTCAGCCGCTTCAGGTGCGCCGAGTCGGACACCACCTGGCGGCGGACCGGCGTCACACCACTGCCAGCCGGGCAGCGGTCACTGCCTGCGGCGCGACGGCCCCAGCGGGACAGATGACACGCGGAGCCGATGACACCTGCACGCGTCATAACTAACGTCTTTCCACGAACTACCACACAGGCCAATCCTGTTTAGACTAAATGACGTCCTCCCTGAGAGTTAACTCAAGAGTTAACGAAGAGTTAACCAAGGGTTAAAGAGTTAAGAGTTAACATTTGAGCACGTCCCAGCCCCTGCGTTGGGGAAATCTGGGTCGCGCCGTTCTGCCCTAGTCCGACAGAGCCAGCGACCTCCCCTCCCCCCACTCCGCCGCCCACCGCTCGGCGCGGAACCTACCTCGTTGATGTGCGGCTTGTTCTTGATGGTCTTGGCGCGGCTGGCGAACCGTAGCGTGGAGTGGGTCTCCTCCACAGCCGCCGGCGTCACCGTGCAGATGATGGCCGTCTGGCAGGTCAGAGGTCACGGGTCAGATCAGAGGTCACGGGTCAGATCAGAGGTCACGGGTCAGATCAGAGGTCACGGGTCAGATCAGGGGTCACGGGTCAGATCAGGGGTCACGGGTCAGATCAGGGGTCACGAGTCAGATCAGAGAAGTCACGGGTCAGGCCTAAGATCACAGACCAGGTCAGAGGTCACCAGCCGGTAGCGGCGCGTCACACGCGCCGGGGGGGGGGGGGAGGGAGGGGAAGCAGAGGGCGGCGGCGCAGGAGACAGTGTGGAAAAAGGGCCGAAGGCGGGCGGTATAGAACTAAAAATGGGGCATGTCAACACTGGGAGAGACGTTAGGCACACAGGGTGGGGATGGAGTGGTACAGTTAGGGCAGAAAAGAGGGAAGTAGAGAGGACGGAACATAAATGGCGGCAGGAGAGGCACCTGATGAGGACATCAGAGGAGGAAGAGCACGTAAGACGGTACACACAAAGGCCGTGAAGCAGTACGCAACAGCGCACCCTTTGACACATGACGCACAAACGCACGCACACACACGCGCGCATATAAAAAGACGCATACGGAAGACTCAGTGGGCCAGGCGGCGCACACTGGGTGAACTCCACGTAACAAATAAACGGGACAATGGACGTCATCACTGCCCCCCCCCCCCCCGCCCCCACCGCCAGTGCATCCGGCAGACACCGGGACGAAGAGCAACAGTAGGTCGCACGCCAGCACACGCAGACGACCCGACCAACGAGTGCAGCCCCAGCCAGCGACACAGCCAGGAACAGGACCTGTCAGCAGTGGATCGCAGGTGCACCTCCGCTCACGCCGCTCAGCCGCCGGTGGCGATCTGTAGCTTCTGAAGTACGGTCTCCCCCATCCGACCCTTAACACTCCCTTCCCTTCCCACCACCTCCCTTCCTAGTGACATATTGTAACACCCCAAGCGTCGCTAGAAATCCCTAGCGCCGACAGACAGATGCCCGTTTCTGGACGTCTGCCGTCTGAGGTATCCACGAATTTGCAGGGCTCAGCGCTGCATCCATTCCTCTCCTTCCCACGCCCCGCCGTAGTCATCACAGACCCCCCTCCCCTCCCTCCCTTCCCCACGCCGTCGTCGTCTTTGGGGCCTTAAGACGCACGTACCATGCCTCTGCCGCTGTAGGGCGTCGGACACCTCTCGCCCTGGCAGGAAGGGCGGCCATTGCGGAGAAAAGAATCCTGTCCACCCGATCCCCCTCCCCTCCCCCCCCCACCTCCCCCCCCCCCCCCTCGCCCACGCCACCCGCCTCTCCACACGCCGAGGCCAACACCGCACCTTGGCGTTGCCCCCGAGCGACGTCTGCAGGATGCGGGTGAGCTTGCTGTTGCGGTAGTTGATGAAGGGCGCGCCCTCGCTCAGCTTGCTGATGACGTTGCCGAGCTCGAACAGCGACGAGTTGATGGAGCAGCCCTCCCGGAACCTGGCGGCGCCGTCGGCGGCCCGCGCAAGGGCGCGCGTCAGAACGTGAAGTGGGGACTCGGGCCGCCCAGGAGCCCGGGTCAGTACGGCGCACTGCACAGAACATCAGGCGGCTCGAGAGTACGGCTTCGTGCCAGCAGTGCAGGGTGACCAGGTGAGTCCACGTAAACGTGCATTCCGTCCTTTTTTCAGACTCTTGCGCGTCGGTCTAGGTGTGATGGTGCGGGCTTGGTTTGGTTTGATGTCAGGTTTCAATGACAAAATAAGCACGGAAATTCAATCTTGAACGGAAAATAAAGCAGGGCAAAAATAAGCACGTAAAATCAACCTCGTCTCAACCCGCCCGTAAGACTGCAAGCACGAATACTATCCAGCCGCCGCAACAGATCGTAGTGAACACTGTCCACAGTCCCACTCCCGCCTGCTTCCCAAGATCTGGGTGATATCTGGTGACCGCCTTTAACCTATGTTGACTTGTGTGGCATTCCCAAACCCTCGATGATCGTTTGTGGTCTCCAGCGCCGCAATGCCCCGGGTGACCTTTACTGGCCATCGGTGAGCTCCAATCACCTGGGTGTTGTGACATGTCACAGTTCGGTGATAGTGATATGGAATCAGCGGTCGCCTCCAGCGACCAGGCTGATGTCCAGTGATCCGGGTGACTTTCCAGTGACCCAAATGACCTTCCAGCGACCCAAATGACCTCCCAGTAACCCAAATGACCTTCCAGTGGTGCAAATGACCTTCCGGTGATCCAAACGACCTTCCAGTGACCCAAATGGCCTTCCAGTGACCCAAATGGCCTTCCAGTGACCCAAATGGCCTTCCAGTGACCCAAATGACCTTGCAGTGACCCGGGCGACCTCCAGTGACCCAAATGACCTTGCAGTGATCCGGGAGACCTCCGGTGACCCAGATGACCTCCTGTGACCCGGGTGACCCCCAGTGACCCGACGTCTCACCTCTCGCCAGTGGCGCCTGTCTGCCGGCGCGCTCCGAGCCGGCCAGGTCCACCAGGTTCAGGTGCGAGACGACCACAGCGCCCTCCTCACCCTCCTCATCCCTGGCCCACACACAGACGGCAGCGGCGTCAGGGCAGGCTGCCCCGCTGCCGGACACCAGCGGTCGAGCGCGTGCGCCCCCCGGGCAGGGTCAGCATACGCTGGCAAGGGGACGCGGAGTGGGAGAATGCCGCCAACGACGACTGCCAAAAGCACGTGGCACCATATCGTAGCAGGGAATGTGAACAAAAGACGGCCAGTGTTAAGAGGCAAGCCAGCCGATCGCCAGCCTCCGGGGGCTGACCGGCGGCGGAGTCCGACTGTCGTGAATTTGAGCCTGTGCCCCCACGTGGCAGCCGGCGCGCTACACCTCGGCCATTACTACGATATCTCGACGATGTCCCCTCCCCGCAGCAGCCCAGATCTCCAAGACGTCGCCCCACCTGGCTCTAGTCTCGACGACGGCCACCCACCTGACTCTGGACTCGATGATGATGCGGAAGATGGTGTGGCTGCGCGAGCTGCGGTCGTTCATGTTGGTGACGCCGAAATGGCGCGCCGTCTCGCCACGCCCCATCAGTCCCAGCAGCATCTCTGGCGTGTTGACGCACAGCTCCCGCAGCTCCGACACGTACACCTGACGCACGGGGGAGGGGGAGGGGGGGGGGCGGTCACGGCCAGCGGCAGCAGTGACGAGTCGTGCACCTGATGCAGGGGAGAGGGGGGGGGGGGGGGGGCACGGCGAGTGGCGGCGCGGCGGTAGCGACGAGTCGGTGTGAGGTGTGGAAGTGGAGAGGTGATGCTTTGTTTGGCCGCGCCCCGGCACGCATGGGAGATCATTCGAATGAACGAGTTTTCACGCGGTATTGCGGCTACTCAACTCCAGACTTTCATGTGCAACTGGACTGTTTGCTGGCCGGCCTCTGGTTTGGATTGGAAAAGCTGAAGATCAAGTCATGCATTTTACATGACCTGGCAAAACGTGCAGCAAAGACGTGGGAAAAGCTTTTTGTGACGCTGTCACTTTCTATCCCTCGTCATGATTGGTCAAACAACGCCCTCAACGCAGGAGACGTCGGTATCCTCAGCGTCCATCCCGCTCCCCACCCCCCGCACCAGAGCAGCCCACCACACCCAACCGGATCCGGTTCCACCGGAAGGCATCCCGTCCCTGCGGACCTCCCCGTCCCTGTCCTTGCGGACCTCCTCGTCCCTGTCGCCTGTCCCTGCGGACCTCCCCGTCCCCGTCACCTGTCCCTGCGGACCTCCCGTCCCCGTCACCTGGCCCTGCGGACCTCCCTGTCCCGTCACCTGTCCCTGCGGACCTATCCGTCCCCGTCACCTGTCCCTGCGGACCTCCCCGTCCCTGTTACCTGTCACCTGTCCCTCGTCCCGTCCCGTCACCTGTCCCTGCGGACCTCCCCCCCGTCCCGTCACCTGTCCCTGCGGACCTCTCCGTCCCCGTCACCTGGCCCTGCGGACCTCCCCATCCCTGTTACCTGTCCCTGCGGATCCTCGTGGATGCGCAGCCCCTTTGGTGTTCCAGCACCCTCCGCCAGGAGATCGGCTACCACCTGTCAGCAAGACACAAAACAAAGCTACAAGAGGTGCCTGTCCACCAGGTGGCGGAACAGATTCCACAGGCGGCCACGACCGCAGGTCGCGCGGCCCAAACAACGAGTCTAGGCTTCAAACCACATGCCCGGGGCTTCCCGAGACGAGCAGAACTTAACGACGAGAACACGTACCGCTCTTTACTCAAAATTCCGCCATATCTCAGGCTCAGCCTCAGCACCCTGCACCAACCACAGTGATGACGCTGCTGACTTCAGCAGCGCCGTGGTCAGCCGCTCCCCAGCCGTGGTGCGGCAGCTGGGCGGCCACGCACCTCCTTGTAGATCTCCATGTAGCTGACGCGGATGAGGTACTCGCGGTCGGGCGTCTGCTCGACGCAGTCGAACATCTGGTGCACCACGCGCGGGATGGTGCCCTGGTCTTGCTCGTGGCCCAGCATGGTGTGCGTCTTGCCTGGTGGGGAGGGCACGGTGATCAGATGGAGCAGGGGTGTGCGGGGTGGGGGCGTGGAGGTGGCAGGGCGGGCAGACGCCGGCGCAGAGGAGCGAACGGAGCAACACGGGGGCAGCGCAGGGGTCCGGCGGGGGCACGGGGAGGGCCAGAAGCAAAGATCTGACGACCATCCATCACAGGTGGAGACCAATATGACCAATCACAGGTGGGAACCAATCTAACAATCAAAGATAAGGACCAATCTGTCCAGTCACAGGCAAGACCAATCTAACCGAAGCGACATGGCGAAGGCAGGCGAAGGCGAAGCGCGACATGCTCACCAGAGGAGGTCTGCCCATAGGCGAATATGGTGGTGTTGAAGCCGGCCATGGCCGAGTAGACCATCTCCTCCACTGTGCCTGTGGCAGTGGGGAGTCACTAATGGTGAACGATCGCCCATCACGGTAACATGTCACGTGACTCTGGACATCACGTGATCAAGACGTTGTGGCAATTGCAAGCAATTGTCGAGCAATTAGGCAAGACATTGTGGCTAACCATTGTAGAAATTGGGATTACAACACAGTGGATGGGCAAGTTTTTAAATGAGGTGCTGGTCTCATGTGGTATTATGTTGTTCAGTTGTGTAAGCCCATACATTTTTTAATCCAAAGTTAAACAATTTCAAGTACATATTTCCCAGCAGTCATCAATCTTAAGCCGCATACAACATATTTTGCTATTAACAGCATTGAGCACAGTTGGTAATGTTGCTGAGAAGGCTTCTAGCCAGACAGTAGGAAATTTACATAGCCCTTTTCAAAATCTGGAACAGCGACATGCAAGCACGACATAGATAATTAGGCATATGAAATATGAACTGTCAAGACATTCCCAATACAATACCACACACACATTTTATCTGACTGAACATTTAATTCCAAGTAAAACAGTACTTTGGTTAAAATATAATCTTTTAAGACCAAAAAAAGATGCCCAAACTCATTACAGTGCTACTGCTGGCACACTGAGGACAACCAGTCTTCCCTGGAGAACTGATGATTTACCTGTATACATCAGCATTGGTGCAGCCTTCATCATAAACTTTATCAAAGATGTATGGCTGACAGAGCACACTTCCTGTTGCAGGATCTATCTGCACTAGAGACTTCTCTTCATGTGTCTTCCAATGCTTTGTGAGATCATCTGATATTTCACGTTTGATAAGCCCTCGCACACGGACAGACACACTAATGTTGCAATCTGCCATCCTGCAGTGGAGGCGGAAGCTCTGGAGACGGGGGGAAACCATGAGTTTGGTATATTTTTCATACATCATCAGAGGAATATCAATGTTGCCCAGAGTTGTGGAGCAGTTGCTCCCTCAACCAAACAAGGCAGTGGATTGAAGATCAGCGGGCGGAGGGCGGCAGTGAGTGGTAACGAATATGACCAAAGCCATATACAAGACCTCCTCAATAAAAGCTCTAGGGCTACATGTATGAGATCTTGGTGGGGAGGGGAAAAACACCGCAAAGCGATCTTGATGCAGTTGCTGCCGTATACTCAGCACACAAACTGAAGACATCTGCGGCGAACGGAGACTGATACAAAATGATTGACGCTGATGTAACTTCAGTGACATGCATTGGTTCAATCCATACAAAAATCTGAATTACCCGAAATTCCCACCCACAGTCATACGCGTACTTACCACCGCCGATCCACTATCACGAACGAACTTGTGATTTCAAACTTGGAGTCAATGGCGCTACCAAATTTTTCGCTACCATACAAGGGAAATACTTCACTCTTCCTTCATGTTCCCTGTTTTTTCCGCTGGCGGGAAAGGGGGAGCAGCGGACCAGGAACAGGCAGCAGCGTGGTAAAGATGAAATGCCGCTTAACAGTCAGGTTCCTTTTCTCTTCATTACTGATTTCCATCCCACCTTGATAGTTAGCACTTGGTGCGTAACGCATAATTGCACCATATCTCACAACTTTCACGAACCTTTAGTGTTTTATTGACCTCAATCAGCCGCAGGCATCTTGTTGGGGTTTCCAGCCACATTACTCTATGAATATCTCAACTTTTCAATTAGCACTTTCTTTCTGGTATGGTGCAATGCGGGAAGCCCGCAGCGTTGGCGGGACTTGATCTGCATATCGGTCAGAAATCAGCAAACAGGAATCAACAGAAATATCCGAATTCGAAAAATAAAGAGGCAAAATAGCATTTTAGTCATAACATGCCAGTCCACATGCCCGTCTCCGCCGACGGATGCTGAAAACAAATGGTACCAACCACTTACGAAACAATGCCATTCAGGGCCATAAACGTGTCTAACCTCCAAGGCCACGCAGCACCTTACACCAAAGCTAATGTAATGCAATAGGCGATGCAATAGCAAAGATAATATGAAATGGCAGCTACACACGCCAGCACAAAACATTAAACGACACGCCAGAAGCGCTAGAATTGGGAGCATAAGCGCATGGAATGTGCTCTTTTTACGTCAACCAACCGGTTATGTTTCTTGCACAGCATCGGTTCCGGCAGGTGCTCAAGCTACCACAGGCGGTCTGGGATAGTTTGCAGCAGCAAACCGCCTGGGCGACGCAACGCTCGAAGGTATTAAGCTAAGCGGTAAAAGTAAGCCATCTTTCGGATGCAGCTTCCGCCCGTGCCGCTGATACGCACTCCCAAACACCGCAGCCATGGTTCACCCCAAAGTGTACAAAAAGAAAGAAAAAATGCAGAATCACATTTGTTTTCGTGGCATATTTGCGCGCAACAAACCCTTCCAGCGATCACTCAACATTGAGGGGACCCGTACGAAATCCGTGGCACACCGAAGCGCATTGGTCAAAGCTAAAAGGCTGTAAGGCACTTCAGTCCTCATCCGTGCATCTTTGAGCTTCCTTCACACAGAGAGGAATCTCCCACGAAAATGGCGTTCGCTTGACTAGAAACCACAAAAAAACACGCGGACGTGAGCAGGACGCAAACAGGCGAGATTCTGGATCCCGCTGCAGTGTTGCAAACATATTCTGCATATTGTCAACATGTAAAACGCCTGGCCAACCCAACACGGATAACATGACGAACTTTTCACACACACACGCCAGTTTCAAACGGACTATCTGACCAGCGCAGCACCGGTAACACATGGGAAACTTAAGTTGCACGGACCAGCAACACAAAACTCACCAATGTCCGCATAGATGTTATGCATCACATATCAGCACTGGCAACTGCAAGCCATACGCAGCGTACTGTAGCAGTCAACTGCTGTCATTACCACATAAACTGGTCACTGCTGCATCGCATCGTTTCAACACCTCAGCTGGCCTATAACTGGTCAACTAGCATCAGCTGGCATCAACAGGCATCAACTGGCATCCACTGCACCCCAGCAACGGACCACTGCCGAGTTCACGCACCAACTGACCGGCATCAGACACATCGCGCGCCACCCGGCCGTTGGCGGCAGCTGCCGGTGCACCTGCTGACCGCGGTCAGCAGTTGTCCCGCACGAACTCCACCACCATCTGATACACCTGGCTCTGCCGCGAGCGCGGCTTGCAGACGTCCAGGTGGTCGGCGTCGGCCAGCACGAGCCGGCCCACGCCGGTGCGCCGACTCCGGCTCAACGAACAGCACCTCGCGGCCGAGCAGCCGCGCCGGCGCGTCTCGGCCACGCTCAGCACCGCCCAGCGGCGGCGCGCCGCCAGCGCCACGAACGCCTCGCGCAGCCGGAGCAGCTGCGGCGAGTCGCGGCGCAGCGCGTCCAACTCGGCCGACGGCCGCAGCAGCGGCCGCAGCGGCGGCGCCGCGGCCGCCAGCGACGAGCCGGCGTGCGGACACGCGAAGAACAGCACGCCACGCGTGGCCGCCAGCAGCGGGTCCCCCTCCGCAGCGGCGCCGCCGGCTGCCTCCTCCTCCTCAGCCGCCGTCGCCAGCAGCTGCTTTACGAGCAGCCCGCCCATCGAGTGCGTGACCCACACGATGGGCCGATCGCCGAGACCGGCCGCGATCAGCTGGCGGCGCAGCTCGTCGGCGCGCTCGGCCAAGGCGCGGCCACGGCGCGCCGGACAGCGCGGCCGCCACTCGCTCCAGGCCGAATCGTAGTCCACCGACAGCAGGCGGGCGCGCAGCGGCAGCAGGTCTGCTGGCAGCCAGTCGCGCGGCCAGCACTGCGTGTAGCGCTCGGCGGACGAGTCACCCGGAGCGTCGGACGGCTGCGGCGCGGGAGCCTCAGCCTTGGGCGGGAGCCTCGGCCTGGGCGCGCTGGGCGGGGCGGCCGCCGGCGGCGGCAGGAGCCGCTCGGACAACCGGCACGGCGCCACCGGCGCCAGGGCGGCGCGCGTCGTCGTGCTGGCGCCACGTGCGCTCCGTCCCGCCCAGGAGGCCGTGCACAAACACCACGTCGGCGTCCGACGCGGCCTCGGCCGCCACGTTCTGCGGGTGTAGCAGCAGCACGCCGTCGGGCAGCGGCCGCAGTTGGCGCGGCGGCAGCGCGGCGCCGCCGCCGCCAAGCCCACCCGGCGCCGCGCCGCCGCCAGCCGCGCGCGCAGCGCCGCCCAGCGACCCTCGGCAGCGGCGGTGGCGGCGGGTAGCGCGGCCGGCGGGCTCTCCAGCAGGCGCTCCGCCAGCGTGAGGTTGCGCAGCACACGCCAGGCGGGCAGGCAGACGCGCACGTCTTGCTCGCGACTCCAGGCGGCCAGCAGGCCCACAGGCCAGCCGGCCTGCTGGACTGGCGCGCCGACGGTACGAGGCCGGCCAGCCGCGCCTCAGCCCATCAGCTCAGCGTCGCCTGGCCCTAGCCGCGTGCGCCGCCGCTAGTGCCGGCAGCAGGCCGGCGGCCAGCAGGCGGCGCCGCCTGCTCAGGACGCCGTCGCACGCCTGCTCCAGCAACGCCGCCGCGCACAGGCCGCTCCAGCGCGGCGGCTGGCGCGCGCCGCGGCCCGGCCCACGGCGCCGGCGACTCCGGCTCGCCGCCGTCTGGTTGAGACGGGCGTCGGCTCCAGTCGGCCGGCGGCAGCTCGCTCAGCGCCTGCGCCGTGACGAACGCGGCGCACGGCTCGGACTCCGCCGTCGGCAGCACTTCGAGCAGCTGGCGCAGTCGCTGCGCTACCGGCGGCGCGTCAGGCGCGGCGCGCGCGCCGGCCGGCGGCAGGAAGAGGCGCAGGTCGCTGTCGCGCCAGCCAGCTAGCAGCAGCGACGTCTTGTGATCCAGCCGTTGCGCTAGTGGCGGGAACTCCGCGTCGTCCAAGTCGCGCAGGCACGCCAGCGCCACGGCGCCTTTGCGCCGCAGCGCGGCATCCGCCGAACTAAGGTAGCCTAGCGTCCACTCGTGAAGTCGCAGTGCGGGTGGTCGCCGCTGGATGGCGTCGTCATCGCCGGCCTCCGCCGGCGGAATCGGCTTGGAATGAAGACAGGCGCCTCAGAGACAGCTCGTGGAGCTGGGTCAGGTGGCTGGAATGAGCGCCAGGCAGCGATGCCTGCTGCTGCTGCTGGCACAGACAGCAGAAACACCTTTGCCATGCTTTGAGCAATGGCATCTGACTAGGAGTGGTGTCACATCAGGGCTTGTATACCTGAAAATGACAAAATTGATGCATGGTTATGGTGCCAATAATTTGATCATACTGAACATTTTATGGCTTATTGCTTACTTTTATCATGTGACCATCATGTACCACACAACACTGATATAACAAATGGGTCACAGTGTTATAGTGTTGGGGAGCAGGTCCCTCTACTGTACTCTGCACTTAAACAGAATGTCATTTTAAGCTGTTAAGTTTAAGCTGTCCAGTTTTTAAAATGGTTTGAGGACTCCCAAATTGACCAGCTTCGAGATGCATTGTGGTTAACTTTGTAACAAAATGGCTTCAATAGGTGCCTTAGGATAAACCCAAAACTATTTATTCCATCCTCCCTGATAGCAAATTTATGGTGCTTGAATAAGGTGACCAATGGATATAAAGATGTTGATATAACAGCTAATACAAAATTTTAAATATCAGTATAAGACCACCAGCATTTGAGATGTTATATATGCCAGATCATCCAGCAAAGGTGCAGCCCTATTGGACTGTTTGGGAGAAATGCAGCAATCACAACCTTGTTTACCCTTGGTCACCCAGCCATGGCACATTGGGCTATCTCCACAGGCCTAGTAAATATTGTCTTGTTTTCTATGTTTGGGTCTTAACATTCTGTACCACACATCAATACTCAGAGCCCAGTGACTCAGGAGCAGCACACTGCTGGAAGAATTGAATAAGCAATTGTTGTGGTGCAAAGTGACTGGAAATATTTGCAACATGTCACACTTACAAAGGTGGGCTGGATGCATTTTGACATTTTTACCATTTTTAGGTTGCCTGCTGTGTAAGAAAGTGCAGGTCATGCACTACAAATCAGTCCATATCGGCTTATCTAGAAGGCAAACCATACAATATTGCTTTCAATGCACACACCACACGTTATAAATTCATCTACCACCATCTTGTAGCTCTATCCCTATACGTCAATCAATGGCGTTCTTCTCCATATCTGTCACTCACAGTTTCAACAACCAGGCGTATGCAATTAGCAATCCCTGTCGATTGTTCTCGATCGTCAGCACAGCGCCAAGTTATGTTCCAAAGGCATTGATTGATACTAAAATACAAATCACATAAAAGAAAACACCAAGGTCAAATTAAGGCTGCATGAAGATAATATTTTGAGCTACTGATGAACAAGATAGCACTTTTATCATAAAATACTGATTATTGCTTACGGCAAGGGTGAAAACAGGCTGATTCCGGTCCTGTTGTTCGTTGGACGTGGGTTCAGCTGGCGCCGTGGCGGAGCGGCTGTCGCGGCGGTTTGACGGGTTCGGCGACTTTTTTTTCTCCGTGTGAGGGCATTATACCGCACTCGTAAGCATTTCAAACCGCAGAGGTGCAGTGCTCGCGAGTCGCCCTTTCCGTGGCTGACAGTGGCGCTGGCGACTGCTGAACGGTAGACGGGCACCCTCCTCTACTGCATGCTGGTGCTGAGGGCGCATAAGCACCCTCCGGTGCTGGCCTCGGCCGTTAAACGGCACCAAGGTTTAGCTGGTTAGGAGAACCCTCGCTAGATGGCAGGTTGCGGCGGCGCTGGCACGGGAAGCTGAACGATGAAAAATCTCAGGGCAGGTGTTGCAGATGCTATAGCTGGGTACAGCGCATGTGCAGCGGAAAGGCTTGTTTCATTCCGGCGCACGCCCTGTGTAAGCCGCGGATCTCGGCCGCTGGAGGCTCTTCGCATTGTGGCCGCTCTGGGGTTGGTCCTTGGGACAGCCAAAGAGGGTGAGACTGCAGCACTTACGCGGGGAGGATGGGGGGGGGGGGTGGGGGGGGGGGGGGGGGGTGGGGGGGGGGGCAGGGGTGCCTTCATGTGCTGTAAATGGACCTGCACGCAAAAATCTGACCTGTATAGAAAAATTGCGATTGATTGTAATTCATTGTACAGGATATTTCCAAGCCGAGTGACTCTGTTGGAAACTGTAGATCTTGACAGATAACCGGTTTAAGTTGATAATTATTCAAAATTTAATGTGGCTATCGATAAAGCACCGCTGGGCAGCGACCATATTTTTTCTTCCTTGGTGCGCTGTGCCGGGGTTTTCTTGCGGTGGAACGCTAAACGAGCTTCCTGGACCCGTACACCTAATGCCGTATGGTAAGCGGGGCAGGTGTGGGTGCATGGATGTGACCACTACAGCGGCCACATCCACGTTGAACCCATGTGGGTTCCATTTTGGAATGCTGGCAGGGCAGGCTCCGGACTCTTGATTACCCTTAAAGGCTTTCCACGCGCATTGGTTGTAGAGAGAACCTTGCGGGTGTCCTTCGGATCCGGTTAGGATAGCGCCTTTCGTCACCTGACGGTCCTGGCAACGAGGGCTCCCCTCCGTCCTCGGACTCCGCGCTCTCGCTCGCCCCTCATCTCCGCTCTCACTGTCGTCACTGTCGCTCGCCTCCTCATCTCCGCTCTCACTGTCGCTCGCCTCCTCATCTCCGCTCTCACTGTCGCTCGCCCCCTCATCTCCGCTCTCACTGTCGCTCGCCCCCATCATCTCCGCTCCTCACTGTCGCTCGCCTCCTTCATCTCCGCTCTCACTGTCGCTCGCCTCCTCATCTCCGCTCTCACTGTCGCTCGCCTCCTCATCTCCGCTCTCACTGTCGCTCGCCTCCTCATCTCCGCTCTCACTGTCGCTCGCCTCCTCATCTCCGCTCTCACTGTCGCTCGCCTCCTCATCTCCGCTCTCACTGTCGCTTGCCTCCTCATCTCCGCTCTCACTGTCGCTTGCCTCCTTATCTCCGCTCTCACTGTCGCTTGCCTCCTCAGCTCCGCTCTCACTGTCGCTCGCCTCCTCATCTTTGCTCTCATTGTCGCTCGCTGGCTCGGACGTGCTACTGTCATCATGGTCATGATCGCCTCGTCCGGGGGTCATGGGCTCGTGCGTCGGCTCGTGCTCGGCCTTTTCCGGCGCGGGGCGTCTCTGGACCTGCCCCCCCCCCCCCCCCCCCCGCCTCTTACTCGGACACCGCCGCGGCGGTTACGGGACTCGACAAGGCCGGTGGAGCTTGCTCGCTCTCGGGCTTCACCGCCTTTCGTAGCTTGATGCGATCCATGCGCACCAGCTGACGCTTCAGTGCCTCATCGTGCTTCAGGTAGAAGCTCACCCGTCCGACCCTGATGACTACGGTGCAACCTGGCTTCCAGTAACTCGCTAGTTTTCGGCTCACGCCGGGATTCGCGTGTGGGGTAAACAGCATCACTTTATCTCCCACATCCAGGGCTCGCATCCTGACAAGTGCATTCACTCAGACCTGACTGGCTCGCTTGGCCTTGTCCACGTTGACGCGCAGCTCCGCGAACGCGTCCTGAGTGTTCCGAAGCAGTCTCTCCACACACTCCTCGTACTAATGCCAATCCGAGCCTGCTCGCCCCTCACCTAAGAGGGCTCTGTAGGCAGCACAGAAGACCTCCCGCGCAGAAAGTAGTACGGGGTGTAACGCGTAGATGCATGGACGGAGTTGTTCATGGTGAACTGGCAAGGCGCGACACACAAGTCCCAATCGGGGTTTCCCTTGGACACGTATTTCGCTATGATGTCCGCCGAGATCCGGTGGGGCCGTTCTACCGTTCCCTGCGACTGCGAATGATATGCAGTGTTGACACTTCCTCTCACTCCGAGCAGGTTGTGCAACTCCGCTACCAGCCGAGATTCAAACTCCGCCCCGTTATCGGATACTACATTGCATATTCTGTGACGGAAAAACGCCCCGATCTTGCAATGCAAACGCCACCTCTTTAGCCAATTCTGAGGGCAATGCAACCGTCTCGACAAAGCGCGTGAAACAGTCGACAATGGTCAGCAAAACAGCATTGCCACTCTCGGTAACTGGCAAGCCCGTCATCAAGTCTGCACTCACATTCTGGAATGGTCTGGACGCTTGGTAATTGTCCTGGATTGGGGCATTCCGCAGAGTCCAGGTTTCCGTTCTTCCGCATCTCAAGTTTTTTTCCGCATGGGCTTTTATATCCGATAGCATTCGTTTCACGCAAATTTGGATCGGCATTTGGTCCAAATCTGACCCGCCCTGGCAAGCCCTCCAAAGAGCCCTAATAGATGTCTTGTAAGGGCGCTTCTCGCAGGTTTTCCGGCACCACCAGAATGACGCTGCCCTTGTGATTGCAT